GAGCGGTAGGTGAGATGTGGTAGTTGAGCGGCACCACATTACAAAAGTACCCTTTTACCTCAGTTCAATAATTGGAGGTCAAAATAACAATTCTCCACCTTAACCCTCAATTGAGAAGCTTCGAAGTAAAGATTCCCTCCACCTGGCCCCTGAGGGCCCTCAACCCTTGCTTGAGTTTGTTAAGTCCAAACAGTGCATTGACTTAGCAATCACGGTTCTTCCGATAAGAGAGTACATAGCTTTTTCCTGACTCCTTGTATGACGACACGAGGGTCTTTAGTTACTCTGATGCAGCCATTCTCTGCCTTGAACGAGCATCCGCTTGACTCCAGCGTACCTAAAGAAATCGGATTTCTTTTGAGCTCTTGTACGTACCTGACATTTTTCAGTACTCGTTCAACTCCATCAAACATCCTTATCCTGATTGATCTACTTCCAAAAACCCTGTGAGCTTTATTGTCTCCCAGTAGAACGAACCCATCATTTTCCTGTTGCAGTGTCTCGAACCAGCCTTTGTGAGGACACATGTGGAAAGAACACCCTGAGTCGAGGATCCACTCCTTACTGGATTCAGATTCTGTGATCACCAGGGCCTCAGCAGAATCGTAGTCATCAGAGGCTATACTTGCTTCTCTTGATTCTTCTGGCTCTCCTTGGTACGTATTCTTCCTGTCTAGGCAGTTCCTCTTGAAATGACCATCTTTGTGACAATGATAGCACTTCAAAGATCCCCTTGATGACTAATTCCCTCCATCCTTGCTTGACCTTGATCTATACTGACCATTTCTTGAATCTTTCTTGTCCGATCTTCCTCTGACAATAAGACTGTCTCCGCTGACTTCCTCATCCTTATCATGCTTCTTCTGAAGTTCTTTGGCTCTAATCAGAGATTGAACCCCATCCAGAGTAATAGTCTACACCCTTCCATAGAGCATCGCATCCTTGAAATGCTCGTAGCTCTTATGAATAGAGTTTAGCAATAGTAGTGCCTTGTCCTCATCAACCATCTTGAAGTCAATGCTCTCGAGGTCGTCGATGATCTTGTTGAACTCGTCAATCTACTCTGAGACAGATTTGTCTTCATGCATTTTGAAGGAGAAGAAAGAGTCTATTAGCCAGAGACTTTGTCAGGTAGAGTACCTCGAGTTTGGCCCAAAGTGCTTGAGTCGTTGTCTCCCTCGACACCTCCCTCAGAACTTTGTCGCCCAGGCTCAGGATTATCAAACTGTGAGTCTTGTCCAGCATGCCGATCTTCTCCTTCTCGGTCAAGTCGGCCGGCAATGCCACAGACCCTTGCAAGGCTTCTGCAACACCCTGTTGAACCAATAGAGCTCTCATCTTTACTCTCCATAGGCCGAAGTTGTTCTTCCCGTTGAATTTCTCAATGTCAAATTTGATGGAACTCATTGTCGTGGCTAGGATTTCTTCCAATGAATTATACCTGCTGCCCTTCCAAGAACTAGACTGAAATCACTAAAATGTTGTACTATTGTATAACAACCAAAAGTTTTCAGCCTAAACTTGTCTTATAACGCCTTGTTATCCAAGAAATTCCTTTGTGCTCGCGCCTCCTTCCCGCAAGCATTACTCTGCGTCCAGAGGAACAAATCAGGAATTCCTCATCTTCCTGTCGCACGAGAATAACTGCATCTTTAGAGCTGTCGCGTCTCGCCAAACTGCTCAGGTCCTCCTGCTTCGCAAACTCCCGAACAGTGAACTCCCCGAATGAACTCCCCGAACCCTTCT